TTTATACTTGATAGCTCTATCAGTTCTAAACCGTTCTTCCTAGAGATCCAGTAAGAATCATCTCTTATTGAAACCTAAACTAAACTAAGTTTATTTATACTGGATAGCTCTATCAGTTCTAAACTGTTCTTCCTAGAGGTCCAGTAAGGATCATCTCTTATTGATCCAGTATTACTACAGGAGGAAAACTAAACTAAACTAACTTTATTTATACTGGATAGCTCTATCAGTTCTAAACTGTTCTTCCTAGAGGTCCAGTAAGGAGCATCTCTTATTGATCCAGTGTTACTGCAGGAGGAAACCTAAACTAAACTAACTTTATTTATACTGGATAGCTCTATCAGTTCTAAACTGTTCTTCCTAGAAGTCCAGTAAGAATCATCTCTTATTGATCCAGTGTTACTACAGGAGGAAACCTGAACTAAACTAACTTTATTTATACTGGATAGCTCTATCAGTTCTAAACTGTTCTTCCTAGAGGTCCAGTAAGGATAATCTGTTATTGCTCCAGTGTTACTACAGGAGGAAACCTAAACTAAACTAACTCTATTTATACTGGATACCTCTATCAGTTCTAAACTGTTCTTCCTAGAGGTCCAGTAAGGATCATCTCTTATTGATCCAGTGTTACTACAGGAGGAAACCTACCAGTAAGGATCATCTCTTATTGATCCAGTGTTACTACAGGAGGAAACCTAAACTAAACTAACTTTATTTATACTGGATAGCTCTATCAGTTCTAAACTGTTCTCCCTAGAGGTCCAATAAGGATCATCTCTTATTGATCCAGTGTTACTACAGGAGGAAACCTAAACAAAACTAACTTTATTTATACTGGATAACTCTATCAGTTCTAAACTGTTCTTCCTAGAGGTCCAATAAGGATCATTGAAATATGTTTATTTATTCTCTTGTAGTTTAGCTGCGACGTTCTGGGAATGTCTAACACGCACTGTTCCTTGGTCGTGGCTTTCTGAGAAGCAGATTCCCGAATCGCGTGTGTTACCCATGATCCTGTGCTGGCCTAGTCTGATCAAACATCTTCTAAGCCAATGTATGGATGACGTAGACAAGCGTCCTACCGCTGACACGGTGTGTCGCAAGCTTGGAGAGTTTATGAGACTGGGGATATGGCTGGATCGCTACAAGCTTGATGACATGTTTAAGATGTGGTTGGCTGAACACTGTAGAAGCAGGAGTTTATCTAGAAGTCGTGGGTATGTATATTAAAGGGCTGATGTTGTTAATGTGTTGTCCCTTTCTGCTTAGTTAAACCTGCTATTGTAGGTCGTGGGTAGGGTATTTACTTGGTTGGGTAACTTCACTGTACACGCGTAAAAACGCACAAATTGTAACAAACCTGCAGCAGACTTGTAGCAATGCTGTTCGAACAGCTTGTCAACAGGATGTGTTCGCACTGCTTGTTCCCAGCTTGTTGACAAGGTTGCTGAGCTCAACGTACTTGTTACAAGTTGTTCCAACAACTGGTTATCGTCCTGCAATTCAACAATTTGTCAACAAGTTGGGAGTGACAACCTTGTAGCAACTTGATAAAATAACAACATTGTTACAACTTGTTACCAAGCTTGCTACAAACCTGTTGCGAACACATCTTGTTGACAAGTTGTGAGATTTTTACTTGTGTAAGTAGAGTTGTTAGTTGTTTCCCTCTTGTGCTTCGAGGGTTTTGTTTTCCTGCCTCAGTAGAAACTAAACCTGAGTTGTCTAGCACAGTGGAATGAAGCCACCACATTAAAGAAATATTAATATTCTAGGTCATCGATATCTTCACGGAGTGAACTTGTCAGCATAGCTCTTGGGGAAAAGTATTCGTCCTTGGTCAAGGACAGTCGCTCGAGTGTTACTCGCGAGATGTTTAGAGGTAAGCATGTGACGTGTTTTTTATTTCTGTGACTGAGCTTTGATTCCTGCAATATGCAGTTGTCTCATTATAATTTCACCTCAGTCACATGTGAGAAGAGTGCTTCCAGTTTGACTCTATCAAACAGTATGGGTTGCTCGCCATATCATAAGCCGACATGGAAACTATATGGAACTAATTAACATTATCTTTAATTTCAGAACGTGCCAACAGACGTCGTTCAGTTGTTGCAGGTTGGTGGCTAGTGCTGTCGGAAGTAAATTGTTGAATATTGAAGGGGATATGGCTCTACCAAGAGTGCTTGCGGAAAACTTCGCAAACCTTAATTCAGACATTCTCATTTGTAGTAACACTGGATCAATAAGAGATGATTCTGACTGGACCTCTAGGAAGAACTGATAGAACTATCCAGTTAAGAACAGTTTAGAACTGATACAGCTACCCAGTATAAATGGCGTTGTCTAGTTTAGATATTTGTATTTAATTTCAGAATTTGGAAAACCTCAATTCCGTCGTCGTTCGGCCGTTGTCACGACGTTGGTGGAAGAAGCTCTCACGACTCTGGCTCACGTGGGAAGACCGGCCACGGATGTACATGAAGCAGATATTTATAAATTCGGCTTCAAACTCGCTCGAGAAATCGCGGAATTGCGAGGCGTATGCGCGCTAGCTATGCAAAAACGGCGCAAGGTGTGGGCCAAGGTCGCGATGGCCACGCGGGACCTCGAGGAGGATATGTATGACAGCCTCGCGGGATACGAGGAGGTCACGTTCCGCAGGAAACACGCACACGCAGGTGATTACGATTGTGATTAACATAGATGAGTTATATTGTTATTCTAATGAGTTTCACAGCCATCTTCCCTTCGTTAGGCTATGACTTATAGCCTAGAGTATTTTATCTTTTACAACAATTGTGATATGACTTTCTTAACTGTGTTTATCCTAACCCACCCTGTCAACTTTCCCTGTGGGAGGAAACCAGAGCACCCGGAGAAAACCCACGACTTTCGGCAGAGCGTTGACTGACTTTTGCTCTGATGACTGTACCCCCGACTGGTTTGGTTTGGTTTGGTTTGGTTTGATTTGGTTTGGTTTGATTTGATTTGGTTTGGTTTGGTTTGATTTGGTTTGGTTTGATTTGGTTTGATTTGATTTGGTTTGGTTTGATTTGGTTTGGTTTGGTTTGGTTTGATTTGGTTTGATTTGATTTGATTTGGTTTGGTTTGATTTGGTTTGGTTTGGTTTGGTTTGATTTGGTTTGATTTGATTTGATTTGGTTTGGTTTGGTTTGGTTTGGTTTGGTTTGGTTTGATTTGATTTGATTTGATTTGATTTGATTTGATTTGATTTGATTTGATTTGGTTTGATTTGGTTTGATTTGGTTTGATTTGATTTGATTTGATTTGATTTGGTTTGATTTGGTTTGATTTGATTTGATTTGGTTTGGTTTGGTTTGATTTGGTTTGATTTGATTTGATTTGATTTGATTTGATTTGGTTTGGTTTGGTTTGGTTTGGTTTGATTTGATTTGGTTTGGTTTGGTTTGGTTTGGTTTGATTTGGTTTGATTTGGTTTGATTTGATTTGATTTGGTTTGGTTTGGTTTGGTTTGATTTGGTTTGATTTGATTTGATTTGATTTGGTTTGATTTGGTTTGGTTTGATTTGATTTGATTTGATTTGATTTGATTTGGTTTGATTTGGTTTGATTTGATTTGGTTTGGTTTGGTTTGGTTTGATTTGGTTTGGTTTGGTTTGATTTGATTTGGTTTGGTTTGGTTTGATTTGATTTGGTTTGGTTTGATTTGGTTTGGTTTGGTTTGGTTTGATTTGATTTGGTTTGGTTTGGTTTGGTTTGATTTGGTTTGGTTTGGTTTGATTTGGTTTGATTTGATTTGGTTTGGTTTGATTTGGTTTGATTTGATTTGATTTGATTTGATTTGATTTGGTTTGGTTTGGTTTGGTTTGGTTTGGTTTGATTTGGTTTGGTTTGGTTTGGTTTGGTTTGATTTGGTTTGATTTGGTTTGATTTGGTTTGATTTGATTTGATTTGGTTTGATTTGGTTTGGTTTGGTTTGGTTTGGTTTGATTTGGTTTGATTTGGTTTGGTTTGGTTTGGTTTGGTTTGATTTGGTTTGGTTTGGTTTGGTTTGATTTGGTTTGGTTTGGTTTGATTTGGTTTGGTTTGGTTTGGTTTGATTTGATTTGATTTGATTTGGTTTGGTTTGATTT